TTTTTTTTTTTTGCTTTAATTTTCAAATCAAATACTTACACCTCTAATAGATAAACAAATCTTAGCTTTACCTGGAAAGAGAGAGAGAAAGAGAAAGAGAGAAAATTAGTTGATGTATAATATAAAGAAAGTGTAATATAAAAATAATTTAATTTAAATAATGTAATAACATTGAAACACGTTCAGCCTTGTATTTAAATTAACGTGGTAATGGAAAATGCTTTAAAAAATTGTGTGAAATTGTTTAATGACTACGAGTGACCTGTTATATGCACAATATGCAGTAAAACATGCAGTTACAAGTCCCCACGAATCAAATAATAAATCCGAAAGATTATGCATCAGTGGAAACTGTAACAAATGTAATTGCAATAAAAATCAATTCACATGAAATTAAACAGAGATTTAGAGAAATAGTAGAAAAACAAAAAGAGAAAAAAAAAAAAAAACAAAGTGATATAACAAATAATAATAATTCATAACAACGACCACCGTCCATAACAACAGCAGCAATTTACAAGTTTATAACAAATTTAAAGATGCCGAGATAGACAGAGAGAACTAAAAGGTAATAGAAATAAAAATAATAATTTCTATGAATTACAGTTAACCAAAGCTAACTGCTGACCAAAAGAGGAAAAATTAAATGCATTTCTTTTAAATAAACTCTAAAAACTCTATAGTGGAGAATACGATTCACCACCATTAAATACCCTACACAGTTATTTATATAACAAATTTTCAAAATAAGATCTTTTATGGAGAGTGGTAAGAAAAGTATTCCAACCCAAATTAATAGCGTCCGTCCTGGAGCTAAAATATGCGGAAATTTTATCAAAATATCTCAAAAATTGCCGACCACAAATTGAATACAAAACGGACAGACGGACGGATGGACGGACAAGCTTAAAATCGGGTCAGAAAGTGATTTTAAATTGATCGATATAATAAAAGCGGGATTTATCTCAAATCTTTCTGGGCTTTGCGTACATACGCACAAGCTTAACATATCCTTGTACCACAAAATGATGTAGGGTACGTAAATTGATCAAATATTATCTAAAAGGCTTTGAAATAGAAGATGAAAAGATAATGAGAAAGAAAATGTACTAAAAAAGTAACGAAATAATTTCGGTATAGAAGTAGATCTATAAAAAAGTTCTAAAATGTCTGAAAGCCTTTGGAAGGAACGATGGCATGATAATGAAAGTGAAATGATGTAAAAGATCCTTTACTTTATTACCCTTTCTTTTAATGCGTCCCTCTTTGGATGTATAATTTATAGGTAAGTCTATATTTGTCAACAAAAACGAAGCCTTTCAGCTTTTTCCGCCTATTTAATGTGGTCATGTCTTGCGGCTTTTTCTTGTTTTTTTCGTAATTATGAACCGATCGACACATTTTTATAACAAAGCACTTAAGTGTAAGTCTAGTGCAAAATTTATCATGAAATTTTCCGGCCACTTACGAGATAGCTTTCAAGCTGCTACTTCCGGTTTCTACTCTTTGGGCCGTACTTATGAGCTTGCTTTCAAATCTTTCAAATAAATAAAGGATTCAACTACGAACAAATTTCCGGCCAAGTTTCAAATGTCTTTCCAATAATAAAGAACAGAACATTATATGGACAGATGGACAGACAGTGCTATTGATGAGCATTATGGGGGCAAGGGAGTCTTTCAAATATTTTTAAAATTTAAGATGTTTTCCACAGTGTTTGAAGACACTGAAATTTTATGATGCTTCACTAAAACTTTTGCATCGCGCCTAAGTGACTGCAACAAAATTGACCATGAAATGCTTTCCAAATTAGAAAAAAATTTCTAAATAATTTATTCGACGAATATTGTCTCTATTATGTTAGAGTTACCTGTACACATATCTATGTACGTAACAAATTGCCTGTGTATGGTTACATATTAACTAGAAATTATTGAAACAATAATAAAAATGAAAAAAAAATGCTATGAATAACAATTGTTGTGTGTATAAATGATTGAAGCGATTGTGCAATTGTGTAGAAATACCGCGCCGGTAGTGGCTGGTTACTTTTTTTTTTTTTTATTTTTTTATTTTCATCTGTTTTTCTTTCTCTTTCTATTGTTGCGGAAATTTACAGAGAGAAATCGTTTAAAATTTACAAAGATGCTGTATAAACATAGCATCATCATGCAAATGAATGAAGAAAGGTCACATTGATTTGATTGTAGACAATTGTGTGTGTGTGTGTGTGTGTGTGCCGAGTACGAGTTGCGGGCAATGCAATGGCGTTTAGCTATATACACCCAGCGCATACCAATAATGCAAAGAGTAATTATATGAAAATGTGAAAATCATGCATACTTTTCACATTGTTATCTAACACCACTCTAAGATAAATTTACTCAACTTTGCGTCAATAACTATGAAAAGAAGAAGAAGAAAAAGAAGGAGAAAAAGATTAAATCACTTCGCACAATATGCTATAATTGTTATAATAAAACTGAACAACACTTTATTAACTACCGAAGCAAGCATTTTATGGATATCTTTAAATGCCACTAAAAATTCTTTAGAAAATATATCGCAAATGCTTTACACAAGAATTAGTTGCCACATTGATTAGTTCCAGGCACGATTTCTTTGTAACTACTTTAAGTAGTATGCATGCATGCATTGAAAACAAAGTATACGGATATAAGTAAAACGTGAATAAATTTTCTTGCCGTTAAACAAAAAAATTTGACGGAATTTTGTTCACAAAGAAATTTCTGCAAATATTGAAAACGTAAACCACTTGGAAGAGTTATTAAAAGAAATTTCTTAGAAAATTCCATGGATATGGCAAAGGTTAACGTTTGCGTTCCAGGGTCCCTTAAAAAAGCAATGAAGAAGCATTTGCATAAATAACAACCGATAAAGTAAGTTTCGCTTACTCTACTCGAGAAAAATTGAAATTTTTACTCCTTAAAATTTTCTGAGCAACCCTGTAACTATAACCTATGTTTTGTGGCAGATTTTTGAGATCAATTCGAATTTCTTTTTTTGTTTTCTCATCTCTTCACCATTTGAAGGCGGACTTCGGGTTTCATACCACCAAAAAAGTCCTAGGATATGTCTTCTCCGCGTTGTGCGGTCTCTTCTCTGACTTATATATTAGTTTGGGGAAAAAGAAATCCATTATTTTTTCGGTAGATGGCTGCACTGATAGATTTCTCGTAAAGTATCGATCAAACAATTTCAGATTTATGCTCGTTGGAAAGGTGACATTTCGCAGTAAAAAAAATTCTTTTGCTGTTTTTTGTTTGGTGCATTCAGTTGTGAGTTACAGCGTGTTAAAAATGGAAGTGAACAAAGAGAAAATTCGGTACATTTTACAGTTTTTCTTTGACAAAGGCGAAAATGCAAGCCAGACGGCTAAAATTGTGAACGGTGTTTATGGTTCCGATACTGTAACAGCCAATTATGTGCAATTTTGGTTTCGTAGATTCTGTTCAGGAATTTTTGATGTTAAAGATGCACCTCGCACAGGTAGACCGGTCGTCGAAAATGTCGATAAAATCGGAGAAATGATCGAAGTTGACCGGCATGTTAGCAGTCGTAACATCGCCCAGGAGCTAAAAATCGACCATAAAACAGTTTTTAACCATTTACACAAAGCTGGATTCAAAAAGAAGCTCTATGTTTGGGTGCCACACCAATTAACAGAAAAAAACATGATGGATCGAATTTCCATCTGCGAAGCCTTGGCCAAACGGAATGAGATAGACCCATTTCTTAAACGGATGGTGACTGGAGATGACAAAGGGATCACATACGATAACCCTGTGCGAAAACGATCGTGGTCAAAGAGCGGTGAAGGACCTCAAACGGCCAGGAAGGTTTTGCTATGCATTTGGTGGGACTGGAAGGGGATTATTTATTATGAGCTGCTTCCATATGGCCAAACGCTAAATTCTGATCTCTGCTGTCAACAACTGGACCGTTTGAAGATAGCGATTGACCAGAAACGGCCAGAATTGGCCAACAGGAGAGGTGTCGCGTTCCACCAGGACAACGCTAGGCCACACACATCTACAGTGACTCGCCAGAAACTTCGGGAGCTTGGTTTTTTTGCAAATAGAGACCAGGACTTCTATGAGAGAGGCATTTTGAAGTTACCTTTAAAATGGCAACAAATCATACAACAAAACGGTGCATATTTGACCCAAATCGGACAATCCGAAGCATGTTAAATAAAGTCCTGAAGTTCATATAAAAATAATGGATTTCTTTTTCCCCAAACTAATATGTATATATGTCAGGCAAAAGTTGCAAAGTGCAAACGTAACACACGATCCAACAACAAGAGATACCATTTTATATTCCACGTCTCTTTTGGAGCAATAAAAAAAACTAGTAAGAAATAATAAACCTTCAGATAAGAATCACCGTACACTCGATAATTAGTTGGATGGGAATGCGTGAACAAGTCATGATTTTTCAAATCAAATTCTTCTGAATATACTAAGGCTCATTATGTCGGCTACCATCCTGCTCCATCATAGCGAACACCCGACAGAAATTTTATAGATGACTTGTAGCTTTCTATAATGCAGAATAAATATCTTATCGCATGATGTTGACAAACATTTTCCTTCCTTTTAGACCAATTTTTTTTTTAACTTTTTCTTACCCTTTCCTAAGCATTTCTTGTAAGTAGAATTCCGACCGCTGTACAGGAGAGAATGGGATGATATTTCGAATGAAGAATCGAGGACATTTCTTAGCGATTGCTATGAGTCTATCTGAACTTTCTTCTAGAGTGTTCATCAGTCGTCAACAATGTCAATGTTTTCCTAAAGAAAGCTTACGCGAAAAGTCATTTTACTCTAATTACAACGTACCAGAGCCAAATATATCCAACTATATCCGCAAACTGAAGCAAGACACTTAATTCACTTTTAGAATCACAGAAATGATCTCAAGAAATTGCATATAAGATTTAAAGGTTTCATAGCCTAAAGTAAGAAATGATCGATCTGAACCGATTGGAATATTTTTGTTAGTTTTACTGTACGTCTCAATCGGTTTGCATGAAAAAAAAAACCAA